TCCCCCTGTTTTGAGAAAGTACCACCGGGGTTAGAAGTCCTTCGTGGCCTTTCAAAGGGTTCAAGGGACCCTTTAAGGGCCCATGCTAGGGGCCATGGTTTCAATCTTAGACTGAAAGGCTGCTGCGTCAGCACTGGTACGCCCATTTGGACATACCGCATAACTTAAGAACTACATATGGTAGAGCCACAGTCATTTTCTACTCGCAATAGAGGAAAGCTAATTACAAAGTACTCATGATGGCATAGGGGTGAAAAAGTAGCACTAGTAGCAGTAGCTTGTAGCAACAGCGGTAGCAATACTCAGCGCTGGCGGCAGCAGCAGAAAAAGAAACACGATCAACAGCAGCCTGCAAAAGCTGTAAGTGTGGTCGGCGGATAGGAGGAGCAAGAGGAGGGGGAGCACAAGGAGGGGGAGGAGGCATGGACTACCTACCACCACCACCTCCGCCACACCCGCCACCCCCACCACACCCGCCGCCACCACCACCATCGCCACAGGTCCAAGAAACCTCAGGGTCCTACAGCTGGTTAACGAACAGCTATTTCAGATCCTGGGGCCTATTAGTTAGTGGCATCCCCTCATTTCATGGATAGCTCTGCCACACGTACCTCTAATCAAGCTGCAGCTTCAAAACATCCTGGGCACCATCAAAATCGTGTACTCAAAAAAACTACGTACAGGATTGGCGATAGAGTCGATTCAGTTTTAGCTTGCGCCGCCATTTCCATGGAGAATCAGTAAAGACGACTTTGCAAATCACGGAAGCACTTTTGAGCAAGCAAGGAGCAGAAGGAAGTACATGATGACGCCGCAGGCCCACACATCACACTTGTAGTTGTAGTTGTGGGCAAAGACCTGGATGCAGGTTCCAATTTCTCCATCACTCAAACTCTGCGCTGACTATGTCGACAACCCAGGCAAATCTGTTCGGGTTCTTGTATATGGTAGTTTTCATAAATGGTCCAAATATAAATCCCAATGCACTGTAACCCTCATTAAAAGGACCACCAGAAAGGGATCCCTAATGTTTGGAACACCTCATATGAGCTATAGTCTAAACTCTCCCCCTCAAGAACCCCTATAGTAGTACCATATCCGCTTGAAATCTGAGGCGGGTTCAGCATCAGCACAACCAGTTTTCAGGACTGCTGCTTCGTCTACACTTAACCCTCAACGAAAGCTGTTTTGGTCTTTGAACCTGTCTCTTGCCACCGATTCATGGCTTTAATTTCTGTATTGAATCACTTCATCCACCCGCCAGGTTATGACAATGAGAGCAAGGATGATCAACAGCGCCAAAACAAAGGATATTCAAACGGCATGGGGCGGAGTCTGACACTTTGCCCATTCCGTCCTCCCTAGGAGCTGCTCAATAATGATCTGTGAGTGAATCTAAGTCCGCATACATCCCTGAATCCCCAAAAAGTCTCCCGTGCCTGGGGAGACTTGTGACTGTCCGTACCGCAGTTCCGCTTCAACATCTGCCCGTCCGCATATGTGCACGACAGGCCGAAATCCGAGATCCGTATAGCGCTCCTGCAGCAGTCTTGCCGCGGCTTCGTGCAGTGAGGGCAAGGGAAAGAACTTCGTGGATACCGCAAACTTTAAACTAGAAGCAAAGAGAAGAGTATTGCTGCAGATAGGGAACATCAGACTGCTCAATATTCTACAACGGGGAGCCCCCCCCCCCCCGGAAAATTCCAGCCCCAACGGCGCCCAAAGATATGGTAGCTGCACTAGCAAGGATAATGACTATTCAGAATAACAACAGCTATGAAGCTGACAGAACTAATTGCCGTCATTTTCTTTTCAGGATCGAACCTGGGACTAAGGCTTTCAAACGCTTTGGGCCTGATTCGTCTGGTTGCAACCAAGAAGCTCAAACTTGGAGTGGGGATGCTTCGATGCCTTTGGCACGGGCCGCATCACCAGCAACCTCAGATCACAGCTGGACAAGATGTTCAAAACGGTGGCGTCATGGGAAGGGTAGTCGCCGTCATAACCATGATGTCATCATCGAAACAATCACCACCACCATCATCATCATGATCATCATCATCAACAACAGGACCATTGCCATGATCATCGTAATCATAAGCGTTCTACAGAACAATTACCATGACTCTACCTCAAGGGTTCAGGGGCCCAAAGACTGCTACGGTACCTCCATGATAGAACATGAGAACCTGCTTGGCTCCTCTTGTTGAGCGCATATTTGAAAAAAAACAAAAGCTGCTTTACTAATGAAAAAGTTTTGGTCGCTGGCTGTAATTATACTTCGGGCTAAAGTGGTGCATGATGTCCTCCATGCCCAATCTCTTATATGCCCCGTGCAAACGCCCCTACGTCCAAAAACAGTTACGTCACTCTGATATACCCGCACATACTGTAGCCCTTCTTCTTCCAAGAGCTCTCAAAAAAGACCCAAAGTTGTGGACATTACCCCCCCCCCTCCCCCCGCACAACAAAAAACTTCTGACAAGAAGCATGTTCTCTGATTTCCTCAGCAGCTCGCTTGATTCAAGTGTGGGGGTTGGATGCAGTAAGGTTGCAACTTAGGTCTCTTTCCACCTGGGCAGGTGAACAACGAACCACTAATTGATCTGAACTGGCTAACTATAGGAAAGCTACAAATCAACCGCTTTCCCACCTAGCCTTTTTGCATACGCAATGATGGCTGACCTTTCTGCTCTGATCATAAACCCCTATGTAACCCAAATTTCCCTTCCATTGTCCATGCTCTTTTCCATGTGATCCCCCCCTTGTTGGGGTCGTGATCCTGTCCTGTAAAAGCACACACGGTCACTGCAGCTAGCTCTGAGTCAGAATAGAATCACTATGAGCAGGCATAGGTCTGTTTGGAGAGTGGCAAAAAAGTCTGAGATATGGACTGAGTCACCGGCCACGGAAGAGGATTGCATCCGCAACTAAAAGTAAAGAAGGCGGTCAGACTGCAAGATATTACCTGGTTATTACTTGCTATTGCACTACTTACCTTGGTTGAAAGCTATAGAAGAAGGCCAAAGCCGCTATCACAGCTCCCCTTCTCATTGTTGTTCTACTTGCTGAAGACAACTGGTAATAATGCTGCTTCAGGCCGGACTACCACAACTGTTGGTTCATCAACTGTTGGTTCATCTTGTCGCGTTTCTATACTGGAGGAATGGAGGCCGACAGGCCACAGTAGCCTCCATAACTGTTTCCCTTTCATGTTCTCATGATTCTGATTTCCTGACGAAGGTTTCCTCAAACAACATCTCTGGCAGCCCAGCATCAGGTCTCGATGACATATCCTGGGGTCCAGGCTCATGTGCATCTATCATGGTCCCAATGTCTGCTCGAGAACGACATTTTTTAGTGGGTGGCCACTTAAGCAGCGCGGCTATTTCTCAGCCAGAGGCTTTCAAAATGCGCACCCAAAAGCAGCCCAGCTCCCAAAGGCAAAGCTGTGTTGAAACATCTCAATATGAAACTGCTACACTACTCGAGAATTTCCCCAAACATGTCCGACATGCTAAATCGAAGATGGCTTTCTTGCATACTGGCACCAGTAAAGACAGGGGACAAATCAACATTGTTGTGATCATCAACAGCCAACTGCACAAGATGCTCCACTACTGCTACGGGAGCATCCATAGACCTCGCCACGAGACTATAATTTTCCTCTGTGAGGGCTAAAACTTAGGATTTGGCCCCCTGCGGTGGCCAGTTGTGGCCGTGCATGCACAGAGTTGCTAAGCTTTCAAAACGGCTGATACTAGGTAGGAGAAGATCTGAAACTACACTGTGCTCTTGCTGTATAGCGTCAAAAACCGCGGAACCCGAAAGCGTAAACACAGGGCATCCTCTAAGCACAATCGAACTGTCACAATAGGCGGGAGGATGCGTGCATAGGGTATCCTGGCACCGTGTACACAAAACCGTTGCGGCCCTACTACCCGGAAAGAGGCAGCAACGATACCGTTATCCTTACTATGTCATACTAGTGATGACAGCCACGACGTCTAGCTGCACACATGTAAGCACAACCGCTTGCAATACCCGACAGGGTAGGAAGCTGCCAAGCCACCTGTGGTTGTGCATGTAGGCCACACCCCGCAAGATCTGCTGCATGACGGTTGCAGCGTCCAGCTCATCCAAGCCGCCCTCCTGTCCACAAACAGCCACATGGGAGTTTCCCAAGATGGGGGGGCCCCTCAGGGACCCAAGGAGATGGGCAAAAAGGGGGGAGCTATGGGGGGGGGGTCCGTAGTACAAGTTTCACAGGAATCATGTTGAGGCATACCCCGCGAACTACAAGCAAAAGCATGAAGGCTAAACAAAAAGAACTTAAAGTCCCTGCCCTAAACGCTCGACTCTTAAACCTACGTACAGCGGTTGCCTGTGGGGCTAAGATCTATCTGGTTTTTGAGTTGAAGCCCGAAGCCCCGCGTCCTAAACCCTCAGTGGAAAGTGTGTGTTGGTTCTTGTTCTGTCGTTTTGGAGGGGGTGTGGGGAATGGGGTGGTAGTTGGGGAGGCGGCCCCCCTTCTGCTCATGTGCACATCATGAAGAGTGATGGACAAATAGTGAGAAACTATGAAAAATCATTGCAAATGCTGCATTGCAAATGCTGGAAAATCCAAAAAACTATGAAAATAATGAAAGGTGACAAAAGCAGTGAAACGTAATGTACGACGCTGACAAGCGTTTCAAAATGCTGCAACATTATGAAAATATCATGAAAATGATGCCATGTCATGAAAGATGGTGATCATGTGTAAACTGATGAAGGATGATGAAATATGAAGAAAACTGTAAAAAAAAATGGCGGGTATCGATCGAAATCATGAAACTGGTGGAAATGATGAAAATCAAGAAAAGTGATGAGTTGTGAGGAAATGATGATGGAAAATGATGAACAATGATAAAACACGATTAAAGCTCGATGGAAATCATAAAGCATGATGCAGGCCAGATGAGTCATGACAACCCATGGGTAAAAAAGTGATGAAAGATGATGCAAAATGACAAAAAAAAAAAACTCAGTGACAAATCTTGAACCCGGGGGCCTTTGCAAGTCATGTAAGATGATGGAAAGCGACGAAAGGTGCTGAGCAATGCTGAACAGTGATCAACTTCCTTGACAATGTTGAAACATCACCAAAAAACAAATGATGTGGATGAAAATGATGCAAGTGATGGAGTATGATGAGACATGATGAAATGTGATGAAACATGATGAATACTGATAGACTATACTGGGAAATGCGAATTATGAAGAATATGGTGAAACATGATGACACATGATGCAAAACATCGCAAGGATGATACCAGAAATAGCAGCAATAAGCAAAATAATGTTGGTAGCAAAGTGACACTAGTCATACATGCAAGAGCTATATACTACTAGCAATAAGAAACTATTACGAATAAGCTTCTGTGTGTAGCTCTTTCTTTCGTGTCCGTCTTCCTGCCGTTTGTTCTTCCTTCCTTTCTTGCGTTTCTTCATTTCTGCTTTCCGGCCTTTGTTTCGTTACTTGCTACGACTGCTGCGATTGCTATTCTTATTTCTTTCTTTCTGTCTGTCAAGTCTTTCTTTCTTGCTTGCTGTCTTCCTTTCATTCTTTCTAGGCGTCTTCCTTTTTTCTTTCTTCCTATTCGTTTTTCTTTAGTTCAACCTTTTGTTATTTCTTTCTTGCTTTCTTGGTTTCTGTGTGTCTTTCTTTCCCGCTCCCGTACTCCACACCAACTCTTCCGTCCTCCCTTCATGGCCTGCATCTATGGCAGCAAGGCTCATCGCCCCAGAAAGTAAGATTGCAACAACAAAATGCAAAAAAAGAAAAGAAAAGCGCTTCCCGCAACACCTCAACAGCTGTGTCCCACCTGCATTGTGGGCTGAGGCTGTCAGTTGGGAACCATGCATCAACAACCACTCACTTGGTGACTTCCCAAATTACGGTACCTTCACAAAGCGTCAGACATGCAGATGTCCATATCTATCTGTGCTACAATCCTAAACTCCCCAATATACTACAGGGCCTAAATAATTACAATATCATTTTGAGGTCCGTTTGAGGTACCATATACTATAATTATACAAGGAATATGGAACCATAATATTGGAAGTTATTTACGCCCCTATATTAGGCAATGTTGGTTTTCCAGCATCTCCCCGGAATCTGCAAGGCTAGCCCCCAATTCTAGACCTTCAAGTCTGAGCTCCACTTACTGAACCCCAAGCCCTGAACCCAAAATCCTAATGCAGACCCCTGATTAATAAACCCCCCCCCCTCCTTTTAAGGGCCTAAGAATGAGGATCCCTATTATAACCCCTGTTAACGGGAGGGGATTTAAGCACAGGTCTACATTACTCCTGAAGCCTTACACCCTACGCCCTAAGCCCAAGAAAAAGAGCCAACGCCCGGAGCCTGGATGTGCTCTTCGAGGTCTCCATCCCGGCAGAGCTCCTTTTACCAGTGGGAAATTGAAACCCCAGCTCCAGGCTTGGAGTTACGGGTTCGAGATTCATTCAGGGTTTAGGACACGGTGCTGGGGTTTGTCCCATCCTCTTTGCCTGTTGTCTGGACTAAACAGGAATTGTACCAGGTGGGCGCAGATTGTGGTGGCGAGTCCCCAAGCTGTAATTACACAGCGGGGCCTCTTTGGGCACATGCCAGTTCCATGCTTTTTTGCGGCTGCGAGACCTTTTATACTACAAAAACGTCATTCTCAGAGTGCCTCAACTTCAAAGCCTGAACATCCTGCTTCTATGCTAGAAAGCTCTGACTCCCCCAAAAGTCAGGTTGACTTTCAGTTGCATATTGAGGCTTCAAGCTTCCAGGCCTCTTTTGCCCTCAAGTGGGGGGCAGGGGAGGGGAGGATCTTATTGCCATGATAACAAACCAGAACATGCCCGGGCTCCATAACCATATACACACTCTTGTCGTCTTCGAAGACTTCGAAGAGCTTGACAATGCTCCTTAGTGCAGCTGGCAGCAGCGGCGCAACAAAGGGCTATGGCTATGGTTGTTTGTCATGCCGAGAGGAGGAATGAGGCATTTGGGGGATTGTCAAAATTA